ATCACTCCACAGATTTACAAAGAACATTGAGTGATGATTAGATAACTATCCCCCGAGCCTACAGGTGGAAGCTGGGGTGGAAGCTGGGGTGGAAGCTGGGGTGGAAGCCGGGGTGGAAGCTGGGGGGTGGAAGCTGGGGTGGAAGCTGGGGTGGAAGCTGGGCTGGAAGCTGGGTTGGAAGCTGGGGTGGAAGCTGGGGTGGAAGCTGGGGGGGAAGCTGGGGTGGAAGCTGAGGTGGAAGCTGGGGTGGTAGCTGAGGTGGAAGCTGGGGTGGAAGCTGGGGTGGAAGCTGGGTTGGAAGCTGGGGTGGAAGCTGAGGTGGAAGCTGGGGTGGAAGCTGAGGTGGAAGTTGGGGTGGAAGCTGGGGTGGAAGCTGGGGTGGAAGCTGGGGTGGAAGCTGGGGTGGAAGCTGGGGTGGAAGCTGGGGTGGAAGCTGGGGTGGATGCTGGGGTGGAAGCTGGGGTGGAAGCTGGGGTGGAAGCTGGGGTGGAAGCTGGGGTGGAAGCTGGGGTGGAAGCTGGGGTGGAAGCTGGGTGGAAGCTGGGGTGGTGGTGGGGCAGGCGAGCAGCAGCAACATGAAACACAGCAGCAGGAACATGAAGGCAGCAATAGCAAGTGAACACAGCAGCAGCAGCAACATGAAACACAGCAGCAGGAACATGAACGTAGCAGTAGCAAGTGAACAAAGCAGCAGCAGCATAGCGAGGCAGAGGCAGGAAGACCTGGCAGCTTAAATAGAGCGGCATGTTTAGGAGAATGTGATTGGTTGGTTGTAAGAGGGACGAGGTGCGTCACGTGTTAATGTATCACTGGTGCTCGAGTTGACTGCCTGAACTAGCTCGCAGGCTTCGCCCCATGTATGGAATAGTTTTGAAGAGGAAAGGAACATTTGTTATTCAGTCAATAGACTTGACAAACAATATTTAAAATAATAAGAAAACTAACTATGGTGTACATCAATTTGTATGGGACATTTTGAGAATAATATGTCATAAAATTAAAGACCAGCTTTTAAAAAACAACTGGCAACCAAGTAACAACGGGGAGAAGGAAGGTGATACAAACTAGGATGGTATGAGGAACACGAGGACTAATCAAGATACACAGTCAGATTGTATAACAACATTAAAATGGTTTATTGTAAGCTAATGTTCTTGCAGGATTCTTGCTGATTTGAGTTTGTATCTTCATGGTTGATGGACTTATTGTAATTTGATTTGGATAAAAGTGTCAGCTAAATGAAATGTAATGTAAAAGCCAACCCTCCTTCATCACTGACACTCATAGGCTGTACACCACGGATACAAATGTGTCGATACAAGCCAAGTTTATTCCGTCTCATATGATGTTTTATTGAATCTTTTATACGGACAATAACGTTCTTTCCTAAACAACAGCTCTTGCGGTGACGTTCAAGCGAGAGCTCGTGCTCCTGGAGGTGAAGGAGGGGGACGGAGGGGTCTTCTGCTGCGAGATCTCCAAACCCGGAGCTCCTGTGGAGTGGAAGAAAGGCCGAACACCTCTCAAACCTGGAGACAAATACGAGATGAAGCAGGAGGGACCTTTCACTAAACTCATCATCAACAACGTGGAGGAGAGCGATGCTGGGAAATACACCTGCAAGACCAAAGACAGCCAATCCACCGCTGAGCTCTCCGTCAGAGGTGAGACACAAGCATCTCAATCTTCGTTATTGTGTATCTTGCTAACAATAGTAACTTTTATTCAGAGTAAATTGACAATGAATGCTAAGGTTTGCAAAAGCTCACAACATCTGTACTTTTTAAGGAAACTAAGACGCTTTAATGTGGACAGAACTATGCTGATATTATTTTTATATAACCTTTATTTACATTATATTAACATTGTGTATTTGGGGGGGTTCATTGCCTTTCTAAAACAAGGACAAACTGGACAGAGATGTTAAACTTGGTGACAGGAATAATGGGAAATTAATATGCAATTAAGCTTGATATTTGAATGGTCTTTGATTTGTTATGTTATATTAAGCTATTGCTGTTATTTGCATCACGGATGGTTGTTTTTGATATTCATGTGCAAAGCAAATTCCTCTAAGGGCATTTGGGGTTTAATAAATACATGAATTTATTGAATTTTCCCCAATGTGTTCAACAGAATCACCTGAGCGCAGACGTCTAAGAGGTCAGCTCTAACATAGTACAATTCAAAATCAAATAGACCCATTAGCGTTGTGTGAGCTCCATCATGTACCTTCATATCTGTTTCCTGTACATTACCTCTCATGAGCTCAGTAAAGGATACAGACATTGGGATGTTTAGGCAACATTTTGCAGTTAGATACATCCCAAACAGCTCTGTACCTAAACTGTATCATTAGTTTTTTTTCATGAAAGTGATATTACATGTTTTTATGTAATATTGGATCATATTATCCATTCCAGGGTTCATAGTTAGTTAGCTTTAAACATCCATTATGAGTATGACAGATAGTCTAGAGCAGTGGTTCTCAACTGGTCAGGCCTCGGGACCCACTCTTTACTTGGTCAATACATCGCGACCCAACATTTTTGAAGCACTCAAATCTATTCAACAAAAAAACTTGCAGTAATATATACGCTTTTCAGCATACAATATTAATACAAAGTGAAGTACAGTGCATATATCCCTTATATCCTTTCACAGAACAAAGTATGCTTTTAAAAAAGGTTTAATGAGATGATGGAATCAAAGCTGAACTATATAAAAAGGCACACATGCTTAAAACCCAACCCCAGCACGGGGGTCTGGGGGGATTGTCCCCCAGGAGATTTTTAGAAATACTAGCATAAACTACGCATTCTGGTACACTCTGAGAAGAAAATAAATAAATCTATTACTACCCGACATATTAATAATATTTTATGCCATTGTTTGTTTGTCACTTTGTTCTGACATCTTGCTGAAGAGAAGAGTAAAGAGGAGAGAGTCTGTGTGACTAACTTTAGATTGTGGGTAAGGGTAGATAGCCCCCATTGTTCTGTGACCTGTCAATCATCAAACCGGGGGTCATGTTTCATTATGTATTCATTGTTATCTGAAGTTGTACCCATGGATGTATAAAGAGGGGGGACTTCCGGCAACAATCTTGATTCTGATTGGCCAGAAGACTCGAAAAAACATCAGCAAAGATATTTTATTGAGAAGATGATCACTATGTGACAGAAGTTTTCAAAACCTTTGATGGTCTCCAGTACTTCCAGTCCAACGCCGACTGCATGCACAGGGCTAAAAAATCGGGCCTTCAAAATAAAAGTTAAACTTTTCCAACCAAAAAAAATAAAAATAATTCCCATTTGTTTTTTTTGTTTTTTTTTCTTCACTCACACATCCGCGACCCACTCGAAACGTGTCCGCGACCCACCAGTTGAGAACCACTGGTCTAGTGAACACACCTGCTGTGTTGCTCATACCACTATCATCACTTCCATGTAATATTGATTATGCTCATTGAAAAGCACCTTGCATGGTAGCCCACTGTGTGAGTGTGTGTCTGATCTTTTCTGTGTTAACAGGTTCACCACCGAGCTTTAAGATGCCGCTGGTGAGTCAGGAGGAGACGGAGGGGAACTCTGTGGTTCTTCGCTGTGAACTCAACAAACCCGCCTCCTGTGTGGAGTGGAGGAGAGGAGGGGAGCTGCTGAGGAACGGAGACAAATACCAGATGAAGAAGAAGGAGCTGCAGGTGGAGATGAAGATCTGTGACATCACTCAGGACGACGCTGGAGATTATATCTGTTCGTGTGGAGAACAGAGCACCACAGCTAGGATCTCTGTGAAGGGTGAGCACTGCTAACAATACAATAACCTGGATTGTTTTGCTTCAGGGCTCATGAATACACACAGTATAAAAAAAAGGTCAAACATTAGCATTCTACAGACTGAATATAAGAAGTGGAAGTAATTGTCATGACATCTGTTTGAGGACAATGGTTTTGAAGCCTCGAGCATATCGGGTTTTGGAGTGACTGGAGAGGGTGGAGCTAAGAACCACCCGAACACTAAACAAGTAATTTTTTGTTGTCTCAAATGCTAAAATTAACTTTTTTAAATTATAAGATGAAAACATAGAGAGCTCTGTTATCCACTTGTCAATCACAAGGTAGCCAAAAAAAACTTCCAAATTATTGATACAGAATATCTGATGTTACTGTAGGATTCATTTAACCTGTTTATGCAAAGGTTTTTTCCTCATGTATTTGACCACAAGAGGGTAGTATGTGCCAGACTATAGGTTAAAGGTCACCTATCATGCTATTTTTAGGCAATAGCATAGGTCTCAGATATATACAAATTAGGGGTGTGCCTTGGCAGTCTCAGTTAATCTAATTAATTACAGGCTTTGTAATTAATTAATCGCAATTAATCGCATTTTTAATAGCATATAAATATTTGACCTGAGAACAGTGAGAAGCAATTTTTTTCACATGGATTTTAGTATACCATTGAATAATGACTGAATACATAAGCTTAAGCAACAAAACATTGTTTATTTTTTTCAAGGATGTTCTTAACCAAGACCAACAGAAAAGTGCAATTTTTGCCATAAAGTGTAGCAATAGCATATTTAGGAATATAGTACATTTCAGAGATTCAGGTAGCCTATAGGTAGGTAGACCTTCTGTAAACTATAACACTTTGTTTTTTAAGTA